GTGAGTTTTAGATCTAAGTCGTTCTTTTCTTTGACACGACACAAGTTTGAATTCGTTATTACCTTATACATTTCAGTAGATTCATATAATTATTCCTTTCGTAACTAACAAATTCCACTAACTTGAAATCGTGATATATCACTAGCTACAAAAATCTCCATGTTGTAAAATGTCTTGAATTCAGAGCGCACCTTCTATGAGCGAATTATTGAATTATGAGCGCACCTGTTTAATGAACGAGTTCCGCCAACTTCTTTACTGATTTTATATGAATATCTTTATTTAAAAACTTTTTCAAGATTAAAAATAATTTGTCTTCCTGTCAGAATCGTGTTGGGCGTGTCTACGAGCAAGCGTTCCAGCAATCCATCATCCTTGAAGTGCCAGATGCCTTCTTTTGCCCGCACCCTTCGTATGAGTGTAAGTTTTATTATGTGATATTGGAATTTGTTATATTAATATTTTGGTAATAATATTCAGTTTCTTAATAAGTTCATTGGATTTTTTGTGTTAACTAATAATAACGGATTTTCCCATGCGATCACATTTTTGTTCACTACAGGGTTCAAGAAGATCGCTCAGGAACTCCTCAATAAAATCGTCTACGTTGACTGGCCGCATCTTAAAGAAGCACTGGTGCGTTCGACCATCTTCATGATGACATTTTTTGAGCATATCTGAATCATTATACGAATGATATTTTCCCTATGTAGACAGAACCATTTTGCGAACGATATTCTGTGGGCCTAAACTGAACAATGTCACGAATGACATTCTCTGAGCCCAGACTGGGCCATTTTGCAAAGGATACTTTCTGAATTTCTGAATGTAGGTTGAACCATTTAGCGAATGATACTTTCTGAATGTAGACTGATCATGCATTGTAACACATCCATACGACAACATTTCTTCTCGCTTCGAGTCACCGACATGTGGAACAGCCTCCCTGATAGCATCGTTGACGCTCCGAGTATGAACGCCTTCAAAAACAAACTATACGAAGCTATGCAGGAGCATATGTTCAGTCATAAAATACCTAGCAACTTACGGAGCAGGCAATAATTCCAGCAGCTATCTCAATCAATCGTCAATTATGGTGAAGATCGGGTTCCAAAGGCCGGATTCCTTGTGAATCAAGTCATGAAACGTTCAAGAATCGGCAACAGGCCATGGCCCTATTTTTTCAATGCCGACACTTCTATTCCATTATATTTTGCGAAGGATACTTTCTGAATGTAGACTGGGACATTTTGCGCATAATATTTTCTGGACTTATTTCAATTCTTAGTGTCCTTTGTCAAATGGTCCATAAAAATTTTCCTTTCTCAGTTTGTTGCATTAGAAACGATTACAAATTTATTTATTTTTTAAATGAATTGCTGGGCTAATTGTTGATGGATTTTCTTACTTCGTTATACTATATTTAAGTTTAATATTTCATAATTTTTAACAATCAACGTCAATTAAATCTGTTTTTATGTTTAAGCAGGTATATATTCTTAACAATTAATTACCTGTACGTTAACCACCAGGTAGTTGGCTTGAGCTGCGGCAGGTTCAGAGTCTCCCTGTTGCCCGGTGCCTCATCCATGCTTAAACTCGAAGTGTTCACCAACGACAATCCACTCCAAGGAACTACTCGAGAACAAAGAGAATTTGTGGCAACTGCTAAAGGCCTTCGCTCTGATCTTCTCTACAAATGGGGCATTGATGCTGGCCGCTCCAGCCTCCTAGTGCACTGCAAGCCCATCGCTGGCAGACGGTGAGATGGGCAGGGCTTGGGAGGTTCCGAACCTTATTTCTATTATTTCCAGGGGAACCTAGGGGAACCATATTTTATTGAGAATTAGTTGCTAGAAAAAACGCTCCCAGTAGAAATATGTGCAATAAAATCTGGTTTCCCTAGGTTGCCCTGGAAATAACTGTTAGAAATAAGGTTCCCCTTAGAATATTTTCACTGGGAACCTTATTTCTAACAGTTATTTTCAGAGGAACCATATTTTATTGCACGTATCTGATCATTCTCATACATCACTGTCATAATACTAATAGTTGACCGTAGTCTGCAGACAGCAGACTGTTGACAGTTCAGTGTTCATTATGGCACAATGATATTGCTTTGATTCTGTTCTGTCTTGGTTTCTCTATGTTATGCTAGACTAGCATTCTTCTACATTTTATTTAGGGTTTGTGGCAAAAATTGTAGGTGGTATCTTGAATTAATTATTATTCAATAAATATGGTTCCCGTAGGTTCCCTGGAAATAACTGTCAGAAATAAGGTTCCCAGTGAAAATATTCTAAGGGGAACCTTATTTCTAACAGTTATTTCCAGGGGAACCATATTTTATTGCACGTATTTCTACTGGGAGCCTTTCTTTCTAGCAACTAATTCTCAATAAAATATGGTTTAGATCCAATGAAATGGATCAATAATAAGAAAATATGGTTTTAATAAATATAAATATGGTTTTAGATCGAATGAAATGGATCTAAAAGAGATCGAAATTTCCGTGATCTCCATTAGATCAGTTCCTCACCAGGCAAATGATGCGTTGAAGTAACGTTGATCGAACTATTTTTCAACACAATAAGCTCGCGTAATCGATATTGTTTCAACAACATTTGCCAGGGGGGGATGGATCGCCATTATCAGTGGGTCTAATGGTCGTTTCATTCTATCATTGATCATAAGGATTTCATCTTGCAAGGTAGGGGTAAATTTTCAAATAAAAGTAACGTAATAAATATTTAGTGGCAATTCAGTGATGACGGAAACGTTTTAAACTTCAATTCAACCATATATAATATTTTGAATCTTTGGTACGACATGTTACATGCTTAGGATGGCATTTTGAATCGTTGGATTAAACGGATGAGCTATGGGACCACTTCATAAAATTACATAATTATCAGTGCTGTTGCCTCAGAAATAAGGAAGCCTTGGATTTTTGAAGAAAACTTCAAAATTTATCTGCTAGTGATGTGCAGATGGAGGCTATTTTTTTTGAGAAACAGAAAATTGTTGTGGCATCTCGCCATGAGTTTTACGTTGATGAGATCAATCCTAAAAAATGTGCTTCAGTTCATGAGTATGACTCTCATAGTAGCGTTTCTCTGCTCGTTAAGGACGGTTGCTGTATTACCTGCCATTAGTTATGAATGGTTGGTTTATTGCCTGCCATCAGTTACTGACGGTCATTACTTGCTATTACTGACATTCATTACCTGCCATCAGTTACTGACGGTCATTACCCGCGATTAATAACGGGCATTACCTGCCATCAGTTACTGACGGTCATTACCCGCCATTAATAACGGTCATTACCTGCCATCAGTTACGTGGTGACCTCGTGCGGCGAGTGGTCCCTGAGCTACGAATGGTCGCCGGCCACACAGACATACCTCGCGCAGACTCTGGTACGGGACATCGCAGTCTGCGACCCAACACTCCCCAAGACCTGCAGTCTTGATCAGCTCTTCCCTGCTGGCACCAAAGTCTTCATGCTCGGACAACCCCACCACGGTTGTTGCGCCACGGTGCGTGTGTGTGTTGTTGTGTTTGTGTTTGGGCTACTCCACCACGGTTGTTGCGCCACGGTGCGTGTGTTGTTGTGTTTGTGTTTGGGCTACTCCACCACGGTTGTTGCGCCACGGTGCGTGTGTGTTGTGTTTGGACAGCTCCACCACGGTTGTTGCGCCACAGTGCGTGTTTTGTGTATGTTTGGGCTACTCCACTACGGTTGGTGCGCCACGGTGCGTGTGTTGTTGTGTTTGGGCTACTCCACCACGGTTGTTGCGCCACGATGCGTGTGTTGTGTTTGAGTTTGGGCTACTCCTTAGTATCCTTAGTATTTGTTTGGGACATAGCAGTCCCAGGCCGCGATGGATTGCCGCCTCTGATTATCGTTCATCCGCCCTCATTTGGGCCACCTGATGATGATGCTGTTGTTTGCTTCTCGCCGCTGGTAGTGTTGCATGGGAGGTCGATCTGGGATTGTGCCCAGGAACACGTCCAGTCGTCTCTTGAAGGTCTCCAGGGTGAAGTCCCCCTCTCTTAGATCCTTTGGTAGGACGTTAAACAGCCCCGGCCCTGCCACGGAAAGTGATCCTTCCCGCAGGGATTGAAATCTGGCTGCAGATCTGTTACGTAGTGGGAGGATCTTGCACAGTCTCCCCCTTCTCTCGTTGTGATGTGTCTTAATCCTGAAGGTCTCGCTCTCACAGCTTGGCGCCATTCCGGTTATCATCTTCCATGTGTTCAAAATGACATACATCTCCGTCTCCTCTGCACTGAGTACAGGCCCAGGCGCCTCAACCTCTCCCAGTAGTTCAACTCCTCCATCCCTCTGATCCTGGAAGTGAAGGTTCGTTGGATCCCTTCCAGTTGCCGTATTGCGCCTAGTGTGAACGGGGTCCAGAGCTGGCAGCAGTATTCAAGAATTGGTATTACAAGGGCTCTAAAGAGTGTGATCATAGGTTCCGCCTCTCTTGTTCTGAACGTCCGCCAGATCCACCCCATCTATCGCCTACCTCTTGCGGTTATTGCCGTTATGTGATCACCAAAATTGACCTGAGTATACATTATCACTCCTAGATCGCGAACGAGCCGCTTCTCTTCGATTTCCGAGTTGTCAGGTGCTAGGTAGCGGTGCTACATACCAGCTCTTCCGATACCTCTGTATCTCAAAACCTAAAACTTGGTCCCGTTGAACTGCATGCTGTTCACTTGGGCCCGTCATATATTGCAGCGAGGTCTTCTTGCAACCTCTCGCAGTCCCTCCTGTCCGTTATGGTCATTAGTACCCTGGTGTCGTCCGCGAATGACGATGCAGTGGCGTGGTTCACAGCCACATCTATGTCGGCGATGTGAACGAGGAAGAGGATTGGGCCGAGTACCGTTCCTTGTGGTACTCCACTCTTCACCCTAGCCTCGCTCGATCTCGAGCCTCCTACAACGACAGCTTGTAGTCTTTCTGTTAGGAAGCTGTGAATCCATGCCAGCAATTCACCTCCGACCCCCAGCAGTCTTAATTTTCTGAAGAGCACTTCATGGTCAACTTTGTCAAACGCTTTCGCGAAGTCCAAATACACCACGTCCACCCCGGCCCCCTCCTCCAGCATGGCCAGGACTTTGTGGTGATGCTCCAGTAGCTGAGTCAAGCAGGAACGATTTCGTTTAAAACAGTGTAATCTTGTGTTGAAAAGGTCAGCCTCTTCCATGTACTGCACCAACCTTCTGGCAACAACCTTCTCAAATACTTTGATTACGTGTGATTTTAATGTAACCGGCCTGTAATTTTGGGGTTTGTCTCTCGCACCTCCTTTTGTAGATAGGAGTCATTAGCCCTAGTTTTAGGTCACTTGGAACATTTCCTTCTCTCAATGATGTTTACCAGAGCAAAGTCAGAGGGACCTTTAGTGCTCCGACACATTTTTTCAGTAACACTGCAGGGACCCCATCTGGCCCGGGAGCCGAATACGTCAATAATTCATGGATATTCCTCCTTAGATCCGGCGCTTCAAACTCAATGTTGATCAGCTCCCGCCCCCCTGGAGTTCTTGAATGACTTCAATTTCGTTCTCTTGTTTTGAGTATTGGGGTTCGCTGAATACTTTTTCAAACTGCGCTCCCAGAAGTTCGCACTTGCCCTGGTTGTCTCCAACAAGGACATCGTTATTTTTCAGAGGCCCTGCTAAGGCTCTGATTTTGGCCTTTGACTGTGCATATTTGTAGAAATATTTGAGATTCTCTCGAATGGCAAGCACCGCTTGCGCCTCCGCAACTTGTTGCTCGGCTTCGTGTGAGTCCCGCAATTGTCGTTCAGTTTCCTCAATTTTTTTCCCTTAGATCAGTGGTTCCCAAACTTTTTCAGGCTGGCGCCCCCTTTGGCTCCCTCGTGAATTTCTAGCGCCCCCCACAGACATACGCCTCTTTCTTGTAATCTAGTACGCTGCAATTTTAAAAGAGAAAGGTTAAACACAAATGTTTATTTCACAAATAGAACCCCATTTAGTGAACCAATATGTTTTTCAGCTGTTTTAACTGTTTCAGCACTAGAAACCTAGGACGTCTCGGGCGAATTTACGGCCGGCCTCGTGGCCGGTCTCACGACCAATCTCCAAATTCAATCATCAAGTAATATCTCCCAAACTAATGAACGCAACTCAACGAAACTTGGAATACGTATTCATCAGAACCTAACGGTGATGTTTAGCTCGTACTTTTTTTCAATTTTACCTTCAATCTGGAGTTACGTGTATATCGCAAAACAGGCAAAAATTCGCAGTGATCAAAGAATTCTTCCAAACTATTGAACGGATTTGAATGAAATTTTGAATATACATTCCTAACTACCAAACGGTGATTTTTTAGCTTATATTTGTTTATTTTACTTTCGTTTGCGAGTTTTTTTTTCATTTCACCGTCATTCTTGATTTATATTCGCGGCGATTCATATTCGCGGCGATTTCTTCTAAAATCTAAACTACAGAACAGATTTCAACATAACTTTGTATATATTATATAATTACCTAACCTCTCAACGGTGATTTTTAGCTTGTGACAATTTTTTTTATTTTGCTTTGGTTCACGAGTTATACAGATATAGGAGGAACGACCAGGCTTTTCTACCGGCCGGTTTAACCAAGAGCCTTATACGTATAGCCGTATAACTCGCAAACGAAGGCGAAACGAAAAAATTGTAACGAGCTAAACATGACCGTTGTTGAGGTTAGGTATTTAAATACTAAGTTTCGTTCAAATCTGTTCAGCAGTTTGGAAAAAATTTCTTGAATGCTGCGAATTTAAACACGTATTGCTGTTTAAATAACGAATGAAGGTGAAATAAAAAAAAATTATCGCGAACGAAGACACAATGGGAAAAATTTTAACGAGTTAAGCATTACCGTTCGGTAGTTAGGACTGCATATTCGAAATTTCGTTCGAATCTGTTCAGTAGTCTGGAAGAAATTACTTGATCATTGTAAATTTCGGCCAGTATTGCCATATAACTATGGCAAAAAACAAACAATGGCAAAATTAAAACAATTTTCACGAGCTAAACATCATTGTCAGAATGTTAGGTCCTATATAAATACGTGTACTAAGTTTCATCGAGTTAAGTTCATTAGTTTGAGAGATATTCCTTGATCATTGAATTTGGAAATTGGCCGCGAGTCCGGCCGTTAATTTGTCCGAGACGTAAACCCAGGAGAGGTTAAAAAACAGATCTGAGTGACAAAACCATCGCTGGGAGTCATGTGCTGCACGTGTTGTGTACAAATCGTCAAACAAACGTTCGAACTTCTGATATCGACTTCGGACGACCGCCCTCCCCCCCCTATCGCCCTCCTACCGTCCTTTTCTTCCTTACCGCCCCCCAAAATCTTTCCATCGCCTCTAGGGGGGCGATAGCGCCCACTTTGGGAACCACTGCCTTAGATGTTCCAGCCTCCACCTCTCCATATTCCTGGAGGCGGCCGTTATCTGGTTGGTTGTACAAGCTCGCCCGTCTTTTCATGAGAATCCGTCTGTCCTTTGAATTATGTGCCGTTAGGGAGTCGTTTTTCCCGGCGTGAGGTGCGTGCATACCTGCGGTAATACTTCGCGCAGTTTGTTGTACATTGCTTCGTCATTTAACTCCAGTAACTCTGATCTCCAGTCGATGTCGAGGAGTTCGTTTTCAATGGCCTCCCAGTGTGTTCTTCGATGAGGAAAATTTAGCCCAGCAGGCCCTCTCGAGATGTAGGTCTGGGCTGGTTTCTAATCCCAATTGTTTCGACCACTACTAGTTGATGGTCTGACAGTGCAGTCTCCTCAACCCGAATATCAGCAACCAATTCTTCATTGCTGGCGAAGAATATATCCCTGCGATAGTGTGTCTTCTTGTTAACACCAGTACCTGTTGACTAAGCAAGTGCTCCCTACCGAATCGAAGTAGTTGTTTTGCCTGGATTCTGGCCTGATCTCTGCGCCATTCTAAATAGTCCAAGTGTGACCATCGTATGTGCGGTAGGTTAAAATCTTCCGCAACCACAATATTTGGGGAAGGTTCACCTAAGTTGGCCANTGTCAACCTCAGCCTGTTACTAGTGTCAACATGTTAGTTGTTACTTGTTAAGTTGTTACCAGTTACCACTTATAGGTTTTTTTCATCTTTCAGTTTGCTTACAGTTATTTTTACACAGTTATTTTTATGTTTCACCTTCCCTAAGTGGATGTCTACTTTAATCTACCAGTCTCAAAAATAATCCACATATATATACAAAAAAAAAGATTTTTATATGTATATGTGGATAATTTCTTAGATTGGTAGATTAAAGTTCACATCCATGTAGGGAAGGTAAAACATAAAAATAACTGTAACTTCTATTTACTGTATCTAATCCCGGGGTAACCCTTACTAGTTCGGTTAGGTTAATTGCAATAAAGTTGCATTGATATGTTTTAAAAATGTTTTTCTTGGGGAGAGTCCCTCTATGTTGGCTTAGCTATCATGATGCCAGACTTTTCCTTTCCTTGCGTTCTTAGTTGCTGTAACACTGCGCTGTCAGGGGTCTTTGGCTCAGCAGCTGTTGCATTTGTTGTTGTGATTTCTGCTGATGTTCGTGCAATGTTAACAGCTGCTGCATTTGTTGTTGAATCTGATCTACTTAGTATAATCTGATCTACTTGTATTAAGTAGGCCTAAAAAATTGCTCCGCCTGATATAGAGTCCTTTTTGTTATTCTTCACTCTGGTAGGTTGTGTTCTGGTAGGCCGGTGCGGTAATTTTTGGAACTGCCCTGTTCCTTTGATTACAAAAGATTCGCCTTTCCCAGAACTGATTTTTTTAACGATGTAATTTTTTCTGATGTTTTAAGTTAGGCAGTAGAATCTATCCGGTGTTCCGAGAAAGAACTTTCAGGGTCCCGGCTCTCATCGGCGTTACCTCTCAACTGCAGGTTGAGTTCAAAGTGGTAGACCTACAGTAATCTCGTTTGCACGCTACATTTTTAATAGTATTCCAGCACAAGAGCGGATGGTAGTATTGACAGTCTCTCCCGTTTTTTGCATCCGCGTTGGTTTTTGCTTCCAAATGTTGCAAATTTGTGACATCTTATGGTGTGAATAGTTACAGTTCATTTCTTCATTCTCCCAATCGCACTTGCCCGAAAGATATCTCCAGCAACGCGTTTCTTAACAGTTAAATGCCTCTTGTTCGAGGCATTTAAAGAGGAGAGGGGTAACGCTGCGGTCCAGGCTTGAGGTGGGCGGGGTACTAAGTCGGGCAGCAGTGGGGGATGCGGGGGAGGGAGTGAGGGGAGTTGAGGGAGTGAGGGGAGTTGAGGGTACCCGTGTCTTAGTCGAACAGAGAGATACATTCATGATAGGCCTACTTCTCTGAACGCTTGAACTGCTTGCACACTCTCCATGCCTTCTTTCGCCCACCCCTCGTTCATCACGCATTTTCTACACATGAATGATTTCCTCGTTTTTAAATATCTTGCAAGTTGGTTTTCTGGAATTAGTGAACATTAGTGAAGTAACAAAACTGTCTGCATGTGATACCTCTTAGTGCCAATTGTCCAAAATTACATTTTTGTCATTCCAGACATTCTCTGGTAAGTTAACTAACACAGACTTTGGCTGCCATGTTTACCCAATCAATTGATACTCGCACTAACTTTTTACTGACTTCACCTAATTCCAGACTATTCACTGGAACACTTCAGTATAGAATGAGTCAACAGAGTTAAATCGTACTCAATTTTTCTCAATCTATTGTTACTCGCACTCAATTTTTACTGACTTTACTTAATTCCAGACTATTCACTGGAACACTTCAGTACAGAATGCAATTACAGAGTCAAACCTTCAAAATTAAATGTAATCGGGACCGCGCACGACACCAACGTCTGTCACGTCAAACAGCCACAAGCAAACTCACCACGGTTGTTGCGCCACGGTGTGTGTGTTGTTGTGTTAGGTGCGGTGTGTGTGTTGTTGCGTCAACGAGAGACCATTGGCTAACGAGAGACTTGTCAATTGCCATTCTCTCTCGTCATTACCTGCAATAAGATTTTATTCCAAATCTCATGTAAGAAGATTTGCTTCCTCTATGCTTAGTTTTAGTACCTAGCATTTACGTAATTTAATTTAATACTTATCATTCACGTAATTCAAAATTCTGGTATGTTGTATGCCCCGCGTTGATCTGTAGGTGCTGGAGAATTCGCCCAGCAACAAAGCTGATGCTGGAACCAACGACGAAGTTCTTGTTCGAGTTGAGACGCGCCACGAGCCTGACTTGAGCCGCCTCAAGTCATCAGTCCCGGGACATAAATACCTGCACGGTGAGTAACGGGCTTCTCAACCGTGAGGTCATGACTTTATTTATATTGAATACAAATACCTGCATGGTGAGTAACGTGCTTCTCAACCGTGAGGTTATGACTTAATTTATATTGAACACAGATACTTGCACGGTAATTAACGTGCTTATCAACCGTGAGGTTATGACTTTATTTATATTGAACACAGATACCTGCATGGTGAGTAACGTGCTTCTCAACCATGAGGTCATGACTTTATTTATATTGAACACAGATACAGGCTTACAACGCGAAGTTCCCCCGCGTCGTCGAGGCAGTTTGTAGAACCCGCGGCGACGTTACTGAGGAGGAGCTCTTCCCGGGACCCGACGGGTCATTAACCTTTTGTTCACTGATGCATTACCATTTCTTAATGCAATTCATACGTGATAACTGGTAACGAGAGTTGGGTTTCATCGAGGCTGAAATGATGGTTTTTAGATTGGCTGATATGAATGGTTTCGAGAGAGGCTGACTGCAAATGCTTTACAGTGAGACTGACTACAAATGCTTTTCAGAAAGGCTGAATGCAAATGCTTTTCAGAGAGATTGACTGCAAATGCTTTTCAGAGAGGCTGAATGTAAATGCATTGCAGAGAGGCTGAATGCGACTCACTCGTGGACTTCTTGATGGAGTCTGAAGGCGCACGCAGCGTGAGGCGATCGTTTGGTTCCGAGTTGCTGGTGCCCGAGGCCGTGGCTGAACTCCTGCACGAGGTTGACAACTACAACAAACTGCAGCATTCACAACCTGTCGAGATGCGGGTTAAAGCCCAAATGCTGTTCAAGGTAATTAATAAACGAGTTTTACTGTAAGGAATTGACGAATATTGTGCGAAGACTTGGTTCAAATGAAATAAAGAACGATGTTGCCGATTGGAATTGTAATGTTGAATAGGACTTTTGAGGACTATCTCTCCTCCAGAGTTCATTTATTATTTTCACTCCTCTGTTTCATGTCCCCAGCCGAACCCTCTGCAAGGCAGCGTCCCCGTAAAAGGTCCCGTGGAGACCAAAGTGTGGGACCGCGTCTTCCACGTCAGGGAGGGTCACGTTGTCCCTCTAGGGGCACGCGGCACCGTCATAGGTCAATATGATCGAATAAACATGTCTTAGAAATTCTCTAGTTGTACATACTATGATTTTATATATATCGTGTTGTTGGACGACTCTTCATGAATTATTTTATGGGAAATTCTTGCCCTGAATTTAGGAGTATTAAAACATATCGTAGTCAAAACATTTTTCTTGGAGCGACTTGGATATGCGAAGTTTCAATGAAGTCTGCACGAAAATGCACATGATATTATTAGCTACATTGTATTATCAATAAATTTTTAATTGCCAGCAGGTCTGCAGCCAGCTTCACAGCCCACCGACGTCCTCTACGACGTGGCCTTTGACGAAGTCTTTTCTGGGGGCCAGACACTTTAAGGCACCGGGTCAGCCTACCGCTGCTACAGACTCCGCTGGTCTGACTTCATCAACCTCTCTGCCGGACCTCCCCACCCGGATGAGGTAGGGTAGGCCCTCTCCACCCGGGGGAAATAGGTTAAGCCCTCTCCGCCCGGAGGAGGTAGGATAAGCCTTCCCCACCCGGTTGAGGTAGGGTAGGACCTCCCCACCCAGAGGAAATAAGGAAGGCCCTCCCCACCCGGAGGAAATAGGGCAGGCCCACTCCACCCGGATGAGGTAGGGTAGGCTCTCCCCACCCGGAGTAGGTAGTACAGGCCCTCCCCAACCGGATGAGGTAGTGCAGGCCCTCCCCAACCGAATAAGGTAGTGCAGGCCCTCCTCAACCGGATGAGGTAGGGTAGGCCCTCCCCACCCGGATAAAGAAGTGTAGGCACTCTCTACCAGGATGAGGTAGGATAGGCCCTCCCCACCCGGAGGCCACACTAGTCGTCTAGTATCACCGCTTTAATTGCCATTGCCAGACTTGAAATTCATGCCTTGTTTGAACGAGTGAAAAGGTGAAAACCCTTATAGTGACAGATATCGGTTAAATAAATGTTTGAGAAACGACTAATCAAATAATTCATAATTAACCAATTCAGCCCACGTACCTGAAATTATTACAGCAGCTGCGCAGGTGTAGAATTACAATTTTTCTTGAGTATGGTGGAGACTTATCTTCATTCGTGACAGTTATTGCTTTTTTAACTAGTTCAAAAATGATTAAGCCCACACCGATAGACTTTATTCTCGGCTATTTCTATATCGCAATTTCATGTTTATTTTGCAGCTGTCGCCCCTGGCACAGTCCAGACAACCGGTGTCCGTAGCTCGACGGGGGATCGTTAAGCCTGAACAGCTGCTGCGGGGCCAGCCTAATGCGGGAGGGGCTTCTCAACACAACTGCTACCCTAGCAACGGGGAAGTAGTCTTGGGTGATCGGAAACTGCGGAATAGCGGCCGTGGGGAAGGAGTCTTGGGTAAAGGCAGACGGCGAAATAGCGGCCGTGGTAAAGAAGCCTTGGGTGAACGGAGACAGAATAATAGCGGCCATGGGGAAGGAGTCTTGGGTAAACGTAGACTGCGAGATGGCGTCCGTGGTAAAGAAGCCTTGGGTGAACGGAGACAGACTAATTGCGGCTGTGTGGAAGATGTCTTGAGTGAACGGAGACAGACTGATAGCGACTGTGTGGAAGATGTCTTGAGTGAACAGAGACAGAGTGATAGCGACCGTGAGGAAGATGTCTTGAGTGAACGGAGACAGACTGTTAGCGACTGTGAGGAAGATGTCTTGAGTAAACGGAGACAGAGTGATAGCGGCTGTGTGGAAGATGTCTTGAGTGAACGGAGACAGAGTGATAGCGACCGTGAGGAAAATGTCTCGAGCGAACGGAGACATACTGATAGGGACTGTGAGGAAAATATCTTGAGTGAACGGAGACAGACTGATAGCGGCTGTGTGGAAGATGTCTTGAATGAACGGAGACAGAGTGACAGATACTGTGAGAAAGATGTCTTGAGTAAACGGAGACAGAGTGATAGGGACCGTGAGGAAAATGTCTTGAGTGAACGGAAACAGACTGATAGCGGCTGTGTGGAAGATGTCTTGAGTGAACGGAGACCGAGTGATAGCGGCCGTGGGGAAGAAGTCATGGGTAAACGGAGACAGGGGAATCGCTGCCGTGGTTATGGCGTCTTGGGTGATCGGGAACAGACGAGAAACACTCGCGCGGATTGCTATGATTGGAGAAATACTAGCGTCACTATGGTCCATAATGATAACTACCTCAACGAGCGGCACAGACAGCAACAAAATGATATAGACAGCAATTTTGTCACAAAAGACAAACGGCACCACAAACAGCCACAAAATGACGGTGATAACGTCACAAATTACAACCGGCCCCACAAACAGAATCAAAATTACGGGAATAGTGTCAAAAACGAAAACCGGTGCCACAAACTGCCACAAAATGACAGCAATGTCGTCACAAATGACAGCCGGCCCCACAAACAGAAACAAAATTACGGGAATAGCGTCACAAACGAAGACCGGCACCACAAACAGCCACAAAATAATGGCAATGGCGTCACAAACCGGCACCACAAAAAGTCACAAGATAACGGCAATAGCGCCACAAACGACAACCGACACCAAAAACTGCAACAAAATGACGGCAATAGCTTCACAAACAGCCACAAGATAACGGAAATTGTGTCACAAACAACACCCGGCGCCACAAACAGCCACAAAATGACGGTAATAGCGTCACAAACAAGAACTAGCTCTACAAGCAGCCTCAAAATGACGGCAATAGCGTCACAAATGACAACCGGTGCCACAAACAGCCACAAAATGACGGCAATAGCGTCACAAAAGAAAACCAGTGCCACAAACAGCAACAAAATGACGGCAATAGCGTCACAAACGACAACCGGTGCCACAAACAGCTGCAAAATGACGGCAATAGCGTCACAAACGACAACCGGTGCCACAAACAGCTGCAAAATGACGGCGATGGCATCACAAACAACATTCGTCTCTACAAACAGCCACAAAATGACGGCAATAGCGTCACAAACGATAATCGGCCCCGTCCAGTTAAAACTCCAAGGCAACGCGCACGCGTTTTTCGACGTGGAGGGCAACGAAATAATGGCAGTAGCAAACGACAACCGGCGCCACAAAATTACGGCAGTAACGTCACGAACGACAGCCGGAGATAAACTGCCACAAAATGACAGCGTCATTTGTGGAAAAACAGAGAAGGAGAACAATTAGTCCATTTTTGTTACTAAAATCAGGCGGATATTAAGGGCTTACTTTTCGGAGACTCTGATCAAATTCTTATTAAATTCTAATACCAAGATTGCGGCATGGACTGATGATGACATCGCGTGGGCTCTAAACATTCGTCATATCTGATCTTGTTAGGAATAAGCAACCCAGTATGACCTTGATAAGAAAACGTATCCTAGTATATCGTTGTTAATAGAACGCAATGCATTTTTTACAGTGAAGTGTAATTCTTAAAAAATGTTTAAATATACCTAATTTGTTTGTATTATTCATTAAATTAACCTTGCTATGAATCTGCCCCTCAGTAACGTTCTAGGGCCAGATTATCAAACATCGCCAAGTACGCGTAGCGACTTTCATGTTGCATAAGTGCTGCTATGATGACATAATGTAGCGGATCTCGCTGCATAACTACTTTTGTTTTTTTTTTTGGAACTGAATTGAGAGAGAATTCATGCTAGTGAATCACTGCTTCCGCTGGCAAAACTTATTTCCGGTAGAAAATTTATTTCCACAGCACTGCCCATTCTCAGCTCATTTCTATGCCAGTTGCTGATCAGGCAATATTTTGGTAAGCCTGATTGTGCTAAGGTAGGAGATTTTACAAAGAATAAAGGTATAGGGCAGAAACTGTATGTCGTTTAGGGTAAAATTGGCGTTGCGGGTATTTAAGCAGGACTGCGGGAGTAAGTTGTGGCCCCAGCGAGGTCTTGGACGGTTGTCGTCAAAGTTATTCGGCCAATAGAAGCTCGGCGCATTTGTGAGGTGCGCCTCGTTGGGAAGTGCAGTGTTAGAGATAATCGCGACGATTGGAGAGATTTTCTTTCCTGTAGCCAACGGTCTGCAAAGAGACCGAATTACATCCTCAACAGACTATCACGACGAAGCAAGTTCTAAATCTACGATCTTAGAGACGAGATCATCGTCACCAGCAGCCGCACCACGTCGTTCTTCAGATAACACCAGCCAGCTACGAAGCTAGTTCTAAATCTACTTTCCTGGGCCTATACTTCCAAAAAAGTTAAAAGATCGTAAGTTCATCAGCCAATCATTGACGGCCTTTCGAACAAAATCCACCAATCATAGACAAGAAATTATGGCGTAAGTACTTACGTTCGCTAAGCGAGTTTTGAAAATATGGCCCCAGCTGGAGACGAGATCCACCCAGCGCAGCCACGTCAAGAAAGGTAAGGACCGCGTCTCACTGAGGAAAGGCTGGCCGTGGCCAAGAGCTGCGAGGACCTCGCCAGACTGGCGGAAGTTGACTCCGGTGCTGCCACCTCCCAAACCCGGTGACGTACAAATTTGGAAATTTGAGTGCTAGTAAATGTGTCTAGTTCTCGACTGTGTTAGTGTCTGAATTATTATCACCGTGCCATGACTATGATCTCGTTGCTAATACTCAGGTCTACGTTAGATTTTTCGTTGGCTGTTCAGTGTCCGCATCTTAGTGACTGTGTACCAGTTCTGTACCTAGGTGTCGGGTATTCTCCAATATTCGCCACTAAGTAAGCCACTTGGCAACTAAAACCTGAAGTTAGAGGTTTAAGAAAAAGTAATGTAACGTAAACCCTGAGGGCATGAATTTATTCTCTGAAATGTCACCACGAGAAGTACGCTGTCCGAAGTAAAACTAAAGAGGAAGGGGAAGCATCAAGATTTTAATAAAATAGGACCCATAACAAATGGTCTTCTAGCCTAAACAAGCTCCCCAACTTAGAAAAAGTGCTTTATGATAGCTCTTGTCTTCAGTAGTGCTCAGTATGGTGTAGCCGTAATAGATTTAATCTGGAGACACTGCATGCAAGGTTCTGGGTTAAATCAGTTATCAATGAATCAGTAATCAATGAATCAGTTATCAATGACTCAGTTATCAATGATTCAGTTAACAGTGAATCAGTTATCAATGACTCGGTTATCAATTAATCAGTTATCAATGACTCATTTATCAATGAATCGGTTATCAATGACTCAGTTATCAATAAATCAGTTATGAATGAATCGTGCATCAATTAAACATCAACTGTCAAAAAGAGTATGGCAACTAATTGTGAATGAGATTCGTGAACAAAATAATTTCGAATTAGAAGAAATTTGGAAATGTGGTCGAGTCTTTAATTATTTTTGAGAAACTTGGCGAAACAAAGCTCAAGGCTCGGCAAGAAGCAGCCTTTGACCAACAACAAAGGGTGAGGTAGCGACTAACGGCTTCTAAAAAGAAGAGCAAGCTCTTCTGGGCCTAGGTGAGGAGTCGTCTAGTAGGCGGTAGTGCCTAGTGAAGTTCCATCATCCGTACGAAGCCTCGACGATAATCCAACGCAGGGATGGGCACAAAGGTCGGCAACGGGCACGACACAGGTAGGAGAAGCGATGGTGGCTGAAGATAATCTGTATGTTGGTGGCCAACGTCGCTCGACTTCGGCTTCACTGGAGGGTAAGCCTCAAAAACCATTTAAGCAAAGTCGCGACCTGTCCGGCCGCTGAATGACTGCGTTAATTTGAAATGAGATTAGCGCGGATAGTTATAGAGAAACTGATTTTAACCATTCTCAACCGGTAGCCAGTGAAAATTTAGAGGTGAATTACTTGAATTAACCCTTATCGACAAGTTCGTCCCAAGGTGAGATCACCATAAGCTACATGTTCTACAATAACCAATGCAATAGCCTGAACAAAAAGCGTCGAATAAATATCGTTCCATGTGAAAGAAGTGTGGCTAAAATAAGTGTTGGGTCGACCATCAATAAAAGAGAATGTAGCATAAGAGATATACTTCATTTGTGACAAAAACTTCGAGTATCAACTTGTCTTACACTCATTAAAGTATATAATATATGTGGAAACGAAGGTAGCTGTGCCCATTAAGATCATTTCACGTCTTGCGTATACACTTAAACATAATCCTTCTCATCATGATACGTATTTATAACAATTTAGAGGAAAAATTCATACGCCCACTAGGCCACGTCATCCTATAGGCAAAAAATAGCTCGTATTATTCGGTTTCTGGAGAAAGTCGAGCTGCGCAAATAGACTAGGCCACTAGGGTACAGTGAACGACGACGGCCCATACGAGGCTCCTGAATCAGATTCTTCACTTTTCTGGACATTAAGCAGCTTACATGATACTAGTTATCTTTGCTGCAACATAATTTCCTCATCTTTGACTGGGAATGTAGCTTTTATTGAACTTAATGTGATGAGTGCTGCGTGTGTGTGATGAGTGCTGCGTGTGTGTGATGAGTGCTGCGTGTNCGGCCGCTATTCCGCGTTCTCCGTTCACCCACGGCGTCTTCCCCACGGCCGCTATTCCGCGTTCTCCGTTCACCCACGGCGTCTTCCCCACGGCCGCTATTCCGCGTTCTCCGTTCACCCACGGCGTCTTCCCCACGGCCGCTATTCCGCGTTCTCCGTTCACCCACGGCGTCTTCCCCACGGCCGCTATTCCGCGTTCTCCGTTCACCCACGGCGTCTTCCCCACGGCCGCTATTCCGCGTTCTCCGTTCACCCACGGCGTCTTCCCCACGGCCGCTATTCCGCGTTCTCCGTTCACCCACGGCGTCTTCCCCACGGCCGCTATTCCGCGTTCTCCGTTCACCCACGGCGTCTTCCCCACGGCCGCTATTCCGCGTTCTCCATTCTTCCAAGACGTCTTCCCCACAGCTGGGGTAGTAGCTGTGAGAGAAAGTCCTTCCTGCATTAGGCTGGCCCCGCTGCACCGCCGGATCAGGCTCCACATTCCCCCGTCGAGCCTCTGGCACCGGTTGTCTGAACTGCGTCAGGGGCCCTTGCTGCAAAATGAATATGAAATTACGTTATAGAAATAAACTAGAAGAAAGTATACTCGTGTGGGTTTGCTCGTTTCCGCATTAGTTAATCAAGCAATGACTGCAGCTAATGAAGTTGGGGCTTTATCAAACTCAAGATATATAGGTTGTTATACTTCCAGGTAAGTGGGTTTAGTCGTTGCTCAATTAGTTAACTAACCAATATTTCAACGGTCTGCAGAACTTGAGGGTTTCTAAATTCTTGATGCGTTAAGAACAATGAGCCATGAATTTCATGAGTGGCAATGTTATAAAAGCGGTGATACTCCAGCGCCGGGGTAGGCGCGGACGTAAATAAGTATAGCAAAAAACGCTCCTGTTCCGGGCGGGTAGGGAGAGCCTACCCTACCTCCTCCAGGTGGGGAGGGCCTGCCCCACCTCCTCCGGGCGGAGAGGGCCTATCATACCTCCTCCGGGTGGGGAGGGCCTATCCTACCTCCTCAGGGCGGGGAGGGCCTACCCTACCTCCTACGGGTGGGGAGGGACTACCCTACCTCTTCCGGGTGGGGAGGTTCGGTGGAGAGGTTGACGAAGGCAGACCAGCGGAGTCTGTAGCAGCGGTGGGCGGACGCGGGGCCCGCTAGTGTCGAGCCCCCGGCGAAGGCTTCGTCGAAAGCCACGTCGTAAAGGAAGTCGGAGGGCTGAGGTGCTGGCTGCAGGCCTGCTAGCAAATAAAATTATACAGTAATACTATGTAGTTAATTACATCATCAGTATTTTTCATGCAGACTTCATCAAGGGTCTCAAATCATTATTACACGGGTCATTAAATCACGGGAACGATGAACGTGACGTTAATTTGAATTATTTCAAGAATTGATTCAGTGGAACAAAGAGAGGGGCGAAAACGTTCCTAATATGCTGTGAATTTTGAGCTATATCAAACGTCACACAAGCAAGTTGCTTCTAGATAACATATTTGACTAAGAAAAATATTTTAGTACTAATAAATGCACGGGAAGAATTTAATCCTAAAATACTTCATAAAGTTTCGTGTAACAACACGACGAATTTCAAATCATAATATTAAAAACTAGAGAATCTCTAAGACTTGTTCATCTTATCCTCTAGCACAACGACCTATGACGGTGCCGCGTGCCCCTAGAGGGACCACGTGACCGTCAGGGTCCCGGGAAGAGCTCCTCCTCAGTAACGTCGCCGCGGGTTCTACAAACTGCCTCGACGACGCGGGGGAACTTCGCGTTGTAAGCCTCCAGCAGCGCCACCGTCTCTTCAGTGAACAGCCACAAGCCGTCGCTGTGTCGGTGACTGTAGCCGAGTACCTGTCGAGATGATGCTTTGTAAAACTTTGTACCTGACGTCACCATACTTTGTACCTGATGACACCATCTTTGTACCTGACGATACCATACTCTGTACCTGACGACACCATACTTTGTACCTGACGTCACCATACTTTGTACCTGATGACACCATTCTTTGTACCTGACGACACCATACTTTGTACCTGACGACACCATACTTTGTACCTGATGATACCATACTCTGTACCTGACGACACCATACTTTGTACCTGATGACACCATCCTTTGTAACTGACGATACCATACTCTGTACCTGACGACACCATACTTTGTACCTGACGACACCATGCTTTCTTTGTACCTGGCGACACCATACTTTGTACCTGATGACACCACACTTTGTACTGACGAAACCATACTATGTACCTAACAACACAGTCCGTGCTCATATATTAAGCTCTACCAGAGGATCGGGTTACGTGACTAAGGTCGTGAAGGATAAGTAAGACACATGTGTCTTATAACATATCTTGTATGTAGGGTAACGGTTATACATGAGTTACAATACAGAGGTATGAACTACGGCGTTGTCCGTAAGGTCGGAGAACTCAACCGACGCGTTACATCGCGGAGCGCTTATCAGCTACTGCGGGGGGCCTCATACTAAGTTACTAGCCCTTATAAAGCTTTCGCTTCCGCCCACACTAAGGTCTTGATCGCGTGATCTACTTATGTCTTCCAGATGCTGACTCATGCCATCAATCTCCGTCAGGTCAAGTGAATACTACCGTCTCAATTACATATAGTTATAATGATTATAATGAGACGCCAGATTGACACCGGACAACACCATACTTAGTACTTGACGACACCATACTTTGTACCTGACGATGCCATACTTTGTACCTGACGACACCATACTTTGTACCTGACGATACCATACTTTGCACCTGATGACACCATACGTTGTACCTGACGACACCAGTTCTTGTGCCTGACACCAAACTTTTTACCTGACGAGATAAGACCTCGTACCTTACGTTCAACACGTTGTAAATTCTGACAATACTTCTTACTTTCCGAGACAAGACTCTACCTTCCGACACAATACTTTGTACCATCCCTAGAACTTTGTAGTAAAGCACAATGTAAATCATATGCATATCAGATTCTCACGGCAGTCTTGCGGAAAACCTTAATCAATATAAGTTTATTACAATTCAAGATGATTGAAAACTATCTTTTTCTCTTCAAGGAAGGAAATAAACTCATCATTAATCACTTGCACCAAAATTTAGCTCACCTCCTGCATCTGTTTGAAGAACAAGAGGTCAAGTCCAATGTTGATCTTAGGCTTGGGTAAGGTGGGGGCCAATGGAGGCTCGTCAGGGTCTGATTTAAGCACCATCAGCACCGTGCCTGCGAGGCGCATCACCGTCTCCTGCGGCATACCCAGGCGTTCGCCCACCTCGAATGCTGCTAACAGAACTTACGTATAAAATACATAAACGCTTTTTCTTATGTCACTCAATAATATGATATGATTCATAAATATGATTATTTAGATCTGGTGCTTGATGCGACATACCCAGGCGTTCGCCCACTTTTAATACTGCGTGTTTGTGCATAAAATATAGAGACGCTTCTCATTATGCTAATCAATGACACCACAACTCAACTTGGAAGAAACCTATTTAGCTCTAAGACTTGTTGGGAGAATTAGGAGGAAAAATTGGCATGTAAATGTCAGAAGAACACAAGAATGAAGTAGCTAATTTATTGTAAATAAAATTTAAGAAGAAGTATATAGTGTTTTGTAGGGGAGTATTTATATTATTAGTCTTCTTAAATCGCAAGTTCACAAGGAATATAAAAGCAAAGAGAACGCTAAGCGCGATTGTATGATTGAAAATTTATAAATGATTGTATTCATTTTTAATTAACAGATGATGGAGCTGGACTCCGAAACGATTTCAATATCGATATGGTGAACTTGCTTGGCGTTTTCTTTGCTTTTAAATTCCATGTATTGTATGGGCTAGTGTATTGGTAAAAGAACTGATGAAATTTTAAAACGGCACAAAGTTCATATGAATTATCTACGTTCTCGCCAGAAATGATTTTAAAAATACTATTCACTGAAATGCCTGTAACATGAACTAAGAAACAAGTAAAAACATAACATGGTTGAGAAGCACGTTACTCACCGTGCAGGTATCTGTGTTCAATATAAATAAAGTCATAAGCTCACGGTTGAGAAGCACTTTACTTACCGTGCAAGTATCTTTGTTCAATATAAATAAAAGTCATAACCTCGCGGTTGAGAAGCACGTTACTCACCATGCAGGTATTTATGTCCAGGGACTGATGACTTGAGGCGGCTCAAGTCAGGCTCGTGACGCGTCTCAACTCGAACAAGAACTTTGTCGTTGGTTCCAGCATCAGCTTTGTTGCTGGGCGAGTTCTCCAGCACCTACAGATCAAGTTGATCAATGTCAAGATGAAGAAGCATGGAAGCCAAAATCATCATACAGGAGATTTCAGAGGCATTTGGAACAAAAATTTAAATAAGCAGATGAGGAAAGACTGACATTAAACAAGCGTCACGGTAGTCACTTTTCTGATATAAGATTCTACTTCCATGACACAAAAAAAGACTTTTGTGTTTCAAAAACAAATAACAAATCAAAGAACGGAATGCTTTTTGAGACAATCAGCTGCAAAGAAACTCAGGTCTACAATATTTTTTCCCAAATCTAAAAATTGAATGCTTGCCTGACATCGTCAAGTGATTCTCAGACGTACTGCATGGGGGTGCTTGAAAGTCGCATAAATTTTATAATTAGCTCTTCTGGAAGTACCCGTGAAGAATTTTAAAAAGTGATAAGGTTATTATAACTTCGGTTAACTAATTTCAAACTTTATAGTCACTCATCATCTCCTTACTGAAGGATTTTACCTGTTGCTTCACAAATATTTTGAATCAAGTTTTGCTGAGCCTCATTTTAAAATGAGCAAAACGCAATTAAAATGGCGCAGGCACCGTAGTGGAGTGGCCCAAACACAAACACAACACCACACGCACCGTGGCGCAACAACCGTGGTGGATTAGCCCAAACACAAACACAACACCACACGCACCGTGGCGCAACATCCGTGGTGGATTAGCCCAAACACAAACACAACACCACACGCACCGTGGCGCAACATCCGNCCGTCAGTAACTGATGGCAGGTAATGACCGTCAGTAACTGATGGCAGGTAATGCCCGTCAGCACCACGTGTTACGCCTCCGCAACACGTGGTTGTAAGCTAAAATCATTTTCAGATACTCGAACAAAAACGCCTTCATCTGGACAATTGACGGATAAATTTTGAAATTTTTCTAAATTTTTTTAATTCACCAATTCAATATGCCATCGCGAGCATGTAAATGTAACCCATCCAATCAAAGGTTTAACTGTCGAAAATAGTATAGTTTTAGAGGTCCTCGTTAAAAATTTAACATTAAAATTTCGTAGATTTCCTTAATAGTCTGAAGCTAAAACTAGTAATAAAAATTTTAGCCCCGCGGGCTATGTCGAAAATAGGGTAGTTTTAAGATAATATGAAAAATCTGTAGTATTTAGTTGGGATATTTCGTACACTAATATGAGGTGTGCTCGTGGATGTCAGGTAGGAAGACATTTTACAGTCGAAACATTTTACAATCTCATACTTTTTACAATCGAGACATTTCACAATCTCATTCTTTGTATTAGGTTACAGCAAATTATATTTTTCAAGCCAGTGTTATATCAAGGAAAATCGCAACTTCAAGCTAGTGATTGTGACAATTTCACACAATCGAAGAAGCTAAGGTAAAAAATGATAATTCAGGGAACTTTTATTTTAAGTTTAACCAACAAAGTTTGGAAGAGCATTCATGTTTTCTGGAGACGAACGTTATTTAAAAGTGCCCTTCAAAGGTACAAACAGATCCTTTCCGTCTGCCGGATACTCAAGTTGAATTTAATGCAAATAAATGCTTTAATGTTTGCTTCAAAGGCTCGTAGCTGGTGATCGATTCGTTGGAAAACAGGGTGACGAAAGGGTGACGTCAAAATTAATTAAGTTAAGCAGACCAGTCGCTGAATCGGGATAACTGGATACTGTTGAAGAAAAGGTCTTGTTTTAAGAACAGACAAAAAGAATGGACAAAGTTGGCGCTGAAAATAATATTAAAAAATAGGGCACCATAAAACAGATAATTTATAAAGAACCTACCAACCTGAGGTTTTATTGCCCAGTGTGGTGAAACACTTCTAGTTGGAAGAATTATAAAGGAAAATAGTAGAAAACAGTTGAAGGGGAGGGAAGTTGGACGAGAAAAAATAGGAAGAATAGTAAGAGGTTTAACTGTTTTTGAAAGTTAGAAATAGACTTAATCTTAAGATTTAATTGCAGTGAACTTCGCGAGTACAGTATAGGATCATGGGTACTAAGCTACCGCACTTTCAGAACGAAGAACACCAACATAGAAAATTAATTAATTAAATTTAGGTTTAGATTTGATGATATATTGTTGAATTTACGTTGAGAATTTGAGTCTTAACCTGAGTCCAACTTTCCAGAGAAGGAAGAACGATTTAAATAGTGCAAAAAATAAACAAAATTGAAATTCAAACGGCATTAATTCATTCAAACAAAAAATAGGGAAACCGGGTTACAGCAAGAGGTTAGAGAAAGGTACTTAGATGCCAGTCGGTTTCAAGACTGTTTGGAGACTTGGAGCTGACGATTTAGTTTAATCGTGAGAGTATCTTAAATTGAATCTGAATAGCACAGAAATAATGGATCGACACCAGCAGACTTAGATATGCACTTGAGAACAATTTATCTCGGCACTTAACTCCCACTCTGCTGTCTTTCTGATGACTACTGAGGTCTGCCACCGACTTTGCTTTGAATACTTGCTTATTCTACAAATGAAATCAGAAAAACGGAAAAGTGAAGGCAACCTAGAATCTATGTACAAATTTATGGTGAGAAATTTGAAATTTCTCATACTTTGTATTATGTTACAGCAAATTATATTTTTCAAGCTGTGTTATATCAAGGAAAATAGAAATTTCCAGCTTGTAGTGATATGCCAAAGAAACCAATGACTTCAACCTAGTAATATGACAAAGAAGATAATGACGTCAAACTAGTTCCAGTATATGTATGTCATGGACGGAAAATAATAATTTCAAGCATTGCTATTAGAGCCGCGTAGTTAAATCAGTATTTTTCATCGCAAACCAAATCTGTTATTCATTTGTTCACTCAATGTATATGTTCCAATTCACTACCAAACATTTCCCTTTATTTTTTCAGGCACGGGGAAAAATTCCAATAATGATAATATTCATGCATGTGCTTGATCAGTGACACTGTAACTAATAGAAGCAGGCAGATTGATGTCCAATGCTCTGACGACTGCAATTGCCTTGGTGAGTGCTTGTTAGAACCCATATTGTATAAAGCTTTTAAAACCAGGTATGTTAGAATTGCTGTCCAATGCTCTGACGACTGCAATTGCCTTGGTGAGTGCTTGTTAGAACCCATATTGTATAAAGCTTTTAAAACCAGGTATGTTAGTGTTCATTCAGCTTAATAATTGATTTACTTCATTCTTGCTTAGGTTTGTACTTTGCACATGCATTGATCCACTTTCTTGCAATGCTTGCTTTTAATCCAAAGAACTTAAATTGCACAATATCAAGTTGTTTATATGATTTCACTTCAATGACTTTACTGTTTAAATCCTTTAATTTCAATGCTTGCTATTTTATTACTTCAATACCAAACTGTCTTCAATTTACGTGTTTCACCCAATAAGTTGCCGGTATTATCATAGTTGCAATAGTGTCCATTTACCTTGGTCCACTTTAATCTCTTGAATTACTCTCTTGTGTTTTGCCTTATCAATTGCATTCTGAGCTGAAATTACCGCTGGCTGATTGATTGTTTTGTCAATGCTAAGGGTTTTTGGTTTTGATACACTTCTGTGAGTGAGGTTCTTTTATTTGGTTTTAATTTTGTTGATTATATGTTTTATCTTTTACAACTCAAATACGTACCTCACTCATGTTCCCAATGTCTGGTTATATTTCATTCGATTCGCAACTGCATCTGTAATCACTGCCCATACTTTAACAATACATCCATATCCAGTAGAAAACTTTCATTCACCTAAATTGTTGCCGGAGACTAAAGAACCCGACATAAGCATTCCATAGCGCCGGCAACACTATGTCAAAGAAATTAACGACAAATTTAAACTCACTGTATGCGCCAGATTCTTGAGCGTAGGGAAGCCTGGGAAGTAAAGCTCAGTCAGAGCTCCAGGACACAAGCCCCTCAGGATATCCTCCCTAGCGATGCTCCACGCCTCTCCGTGAGTCATGTCGCACTTGGCATGGTTCATGCGAACCGGTGGGAAATGCTCGGGGCTCTGTAATATGAAGAATTAGAATACTTTAAACACTAAATAACGTGAGTCATGACGTGACCTGGCATCCGAAGAGGTTGCCCAACGTGGAGCTGTAGTGCTTGGAACCAGGGATAAAGGATAAAATAATATCAGCTTAAAATTTTTTCAGGATAAAATAAAGCGAACTAACCTGGTATGCACCGAGGTCGTCTGACGTGAAGCTGTAGACGTGCATGGGACCATGAACAGAGCGTCGTCGCTCGTCTTCAGTGAGACGATGGCTCACTTTAGACATGGCCTCCAGCAGACGTTCCTCGTCAATGAAAGGCATGCGTGGCTCAGCTTCTCGGTCCTGAAGAGAATACACGAATTCGTTGGAGATATCTCACAGAGATTAATTTACCGTTTTCAATGAGAGCATAATTTGGGAAACTTCATATGAACAGTGTGTGAAAATGTTACGCATTTTCTGTTTAACTTTTGTATTGGTAATTTTAAGCTAAAAAATACGAACATTTTCACGCGGATTGAAGTCGATGATAGGCGAGTCTGGGCTGAGCATGAGGTCAGCGTAGCACTGAGGCAGCAGCTGGGCGCTCTGGGGTGGCAGGACGGCCATCAGCTGTTCAAACGGCATCATGGCGTGGTTTAGTTCGAACTCCATGGAGCAGTCAGAGAAATCCTTGATGTCGGAAATGTAAGGTGCGCAATGGAAGGGGTAATACCAAGNAGGCCCAGCATGATGAGGCATGTGATGTATACACACCTCCTCCCTGAGCAGGGCAATGTGAGGTTCATGTGAGGCGAGGCCCAGCATGATGAGGCATGTGATGTATACACACCTCCTCCCTGAGCAGGGCAATGTGAGGCTCATGTGAGGCGAGGCCCAGCATGATGAGGTCAGCATCGAGGCCGTAGAGGCAGTGGCGCGTATGAGGATCGTAGCCTGGCTGGCTGCGGTGATACCTGATGTAGTCCATGATTTTGTGCTCACCTTCTCCTGGAGTCTGGAGCAAAGAACAATTATAATGTAAGCCACCTAATATACAAACGACGCACAATTTCAAATAAAAAAATACAAACGGTGGTGGCGACAACAATAATGTTTTAGGATTTAGCAATAAAACTTAAATTAAAGCTCAAAATAGAGTTCTTCTTGATTAGTGTAATATAACATACCCATTCAAAAATGTATTTTATTTTAATTGGGTGAGAGGAGCATTCACATAAATAAAGCTCTATTATGCAGATATTTGAGAATGGTTGGCTTCAAACCTGATGCCCAGAATAGATGACTGTACACGACTGCCATGAAGGATCATTGGAGACTTTTGAGGTGATAAAATTCTGAAATTGTTGGTCCAGGCGATCCATGAACTCTGTGCCGGGGCTGATGCAGTTCCGATCAAAGGGCTCTCCTGGGGGCAAAATTTTGCCCTTTTCGATGGCTGTAGTTCTTGATTTTTCATCAGCTTTACCACGGGAAAATCTGGAGCAAGCATAAAGAAAATGAGTGTATTTATTAATTGTTGAATTTGAAAAAAGAGAGAAACTTAAATCATGATTTGAGAAAATTTAGAAATGAAATATCAAGACCAGAAACAAAGTCTGGACAAACCATTGAATATTTGAAGAGATTATTTTTCTATAAACAGAAACAAGGCTGTGAGTGTTCATACTACTGAGAAGCACCAATAATAACTTGTACCTTCCAATAGCTTTAAATGCAATTGCACACCAAATCATTTAATGTGCAGAGTTGGCATACCTTCCATCTCTCATCGTGCCCAACTTGGCTCTAGGAGCAATGCCGTCAATAGCCAGGAAAAACACTTTCTTGGGGCGTATCATGCAGAACAGAGACTGTAAACAATGACAATGTTTGAAAATAATAAACATATATAAAGTATGTAACATTAGAGCATTCATGGGAACATTAATTGTGCAATCATTGTTAACTTTGTTCATACCTCAATGTAATGTAATATATCTTTGAATATCTGGTCTTCAGTGATCCTGAAGCAAGGATCAGTCTCATCTGGATGAGAGCACGAGTGTATGATGCCATTCATGTCCAAGTACAAATTATCAAAATCAGGAACCTGCAAGTAAAGAATCCATTATTAAAATTCTTCATATATCAACATATCTGAATGTAAAAATTTTATAGAATAGATATTTAATTTAGATATGAAAAATGATGGAAGAAAGAGGTATATATACTTATATATGGTAAATGTGTACATTGCATTTACATTTGTATGATGTATTTCAACTTTTGTAGATAAAAAATACAAGCAATAGAGTAATAAGAGTATTTTCTATCAAATTACTAGAAACTGACCAATTTAATTTGTCATAATTCAGTATATTATAGTTTACTTCAGAGTTCAGCTTTTGGGCATAAGTCATAACAACTACAAACCTGATCAGGTCTGACATCTTCAATGATTGTAGGATACCTCTTGCGAATCCATCCATAAAACTTGGGAACACCCATTGCAGCTAAATTATCAAGAACCTGGCAACCTGCCAGGCGAACAAATATTAGAAAATTAAAACTTTTCTATGAAACTATTGAAGAATATTGAAAAAATGGTTATTAGTTTCAATAACTTTTGACAGATATGTTAAAAAACCCCAGTTGCAGTCAGCAGTCCATGGTGGAATTCCAGGATGTGGACAGTCACTTAGCTCCACCGCAACCACTAGAACGCTCCACCAGTGTTGAATTTTGGATTGGTAATATATTATCATGTTTATATAAGAAAATGGATCAAAAAGCCTACTACGTAACCATCAAACGGGGTAATAAGTGACGGTTTTGAGCGTTTTTCGTTAATAACTCCTTTTCATGAAATATTTCCTAAACAAGTTTGGGTTCATTTTAAAGCTCTTTAAGAGCTATCGAATAGCATCTATAAAAAAATTCTACATGCCATTTGTAAAATGCCAGACGCAAAATAAAAGCATCCCGAATTACCCTTGGGAACGGGGTAATCCAGGATGAATTCAGGACGCTTGAAATAAAACTCAATTTTAAAACGTTTGAAGCATGCAAAGCGTACTCGTCCAATACTAACACTACTCTGAAGTCCTCCTCTTCCTTTGTTGATGATGTAGATGTAGAATAAATGACATTTTCATTGATTTTTACATGTTTTCCTTAATTGATATATTACCGTATCCATACTTTATCATATTATTGATGTAATATTACCGTATCCATGGACCTGCCAGTGTGCATTTACAACGACCTTGTCCTCTGCAAGCTTCATATCAGCAGCCATGTAGCATTTCTTCTGTATCTATAAGTGCACAGGACGGCTTGTAATTTCACACCATATTAATTGGGTCAAGTGAATTCTCAATAACAAAAAAATATCGTAAAAATATACCTGAAACAGAAAGGAATATTTTACTGACAAACATCATATTTTTTTGGAGAAATAAATCATGATTTAGGTTAATTACTTTTCATTCTCTATATTGCCCGATGCACAATTCTATCTATGACATTCTATGCACTGTTATATATATATATATAATGCACAACTTTGTGATGATTGATGATGCATTAATTTTTCGTTAAGTGATTTTTTTTTCACTAAGCGAGATAAATGTAACCAAAATTTTTTGTTGCCAATTGATTTTTTGTTTGACTGGAGCCTTTGCTAACAGAGGTTCTACTGTAAATGCGTTTTTAGGGGTGTCGCTTATTACCCCGGGGGGTGTCCCTTATTACCCATCCTGCAGAAATGGCCGCATTGATTTTTTGAATGAGATAGGCTAATTCCGTCAATCGCGTTTTTAAGTCAACACCTGTGCTCAACTTTCATGTGAGTAAAATTTTTTAATACGGCAAATATTTTTTTTACTACAGACCTGAGCAGAGGTATATACTTTTCCAAAATATCTCTTTTCACACTTTTCTTCAGTTATTTTTTTAGAGATAGTAAATGTATGATTTCTTAACTTGCCTTATGCATAATTCATAGTAAAAATGTTGTTGAAGTTTACGTCACTATTTTTAGTTTTGCTATATTTTGATTAGTTTAGCTGCTACAACATTTCTACAAAATTAGCGACAACTGTCCCGATTTACCCCACCCGACCCTTATTACCCCGTTTGACGGCACACCTTCCAACACAACGACAATTGATACACTGAGCTAGTCAGAAACTGCCGCACTTCTGATATTGCACGCGGTTTGGAATTTGATACCGGGTCGGTGACGCTTTACTCGATTACATTCAATAGTCGTTTATCCATATCTGACAAATTTTTGCAATGAATATGTTCTAGAATAAAAAAATACGTCAACTTTTGCAGAAAATTTTCACGATTTTACCAATACCAACAAAATTTTCGAAACCACACCAAATGATGGGATAAACTGCAAATATTTGTACATCGTGCTGTCATGTAACATAAGATAAGATGGCATCGCCAAGACGATGTCCCACACCTTGTTTTGGTAATGTCAAGTTTGATTTCACAATAAATAGATTTGAACCGCATTCAACACTGAAATTTAAATGAATGAAAGTTGTTTCAAAAATCAAATACCTTTTGATTTGCATCCAGATATGAATTTTTCTTGTCTTTTTTCCTATTTTGTCAATATTGTCTCAATAGCTTCACTTCAAATTCTGAATGATTTCGTCTCCCATCGCGAGTTTTCATATGTCTCATGTCTTTTAGAAAATGTTCGTTATTTAGAATCTGCAATTATTGCATTAAATAAATCATTGAGCACTTAGGCACGTACCATGAGGTGTATTAAGTAATTTAATTTAGTACAATTTAATTATTAAGCTAAAAATTTTAAATAATATTTTTTCAATTTAATTTGATTCTACAGCTGCAGCCAGTAGTAAAAATGAGCATCTTAGGAACGATGGTAAAATTGTCATCCATACATCCCAATTTGAATGGCAATGAATGGATTTGGTAGGTATTTTATTGGTCCCGTTTATATATTAGAATGGATTATGGAAATGTCACTTCTATTTCAGAATCTGTTCTTGCATACATTTGCAAAAACTACCATAATACTTACAGTTACTACCATTCTACTATAACTGTACCTTAATACTACAGCACTTACATACCGTAATATTACGGTTGGCAGTGATGTACTACCGACATTGGCATTGCCAACCGTAGTTCAAAAAAGTCATAAGTGCGTTTGCTTCCACTGTATAAATGTGTAGGATATTTTGCTCACTTGAATAGCATTCGCAGTGTGCATCATGTTCACCTCTTAATTGGTGGCAAGATTTGTTATTAATTCATAAATTTTAATTTGTTGTGCTTGACTTTGAGACAAATTGCTAATGAATTAATATTTAGTCCAATTCAAATCATAAAGTGTTCCAACCTTCATTCTTGATTCTCTCAAGTGCAACTTTAATCCCTCCTATTTTTATCCTTTCTATCTTAACTAAAATTTTTGGATCGAAAAAGTGGCGGCGGTGGATCGAAATAATGTAAGAACATCAATTTTTAGAATTCTATCCTGCGCTCCACACTTAGTGAGGTGCAATTTGAAGCTGTCACATGAGTGGTTAATGGAAATGACAGTGATTTTTGTTTGTAAAGCGCTGCAGTGCAGTTGGCCGCGGCGTTCGCTCCTTTTCCAGTGCTGCGTTACAATATCGGCACTCCAATTTGGGCGCTCCAATTCTGGCCGGCTCCTAAATTCTATATTACCATTGGCATTGGGCATAGGTCTGTGTGGAATTCTAGAGGGGTATTGAATTAACCAGTGCACATATCATATTGGAAAGCAGGGCTTGATAGTTTAGAAAGCAGGACCTGAAAGTGAAAGCTTTGAAAGACCAGGAACACGAACATTCCACTTTAGTCCATTGTATAGTACATATCTGTTGATGATATCCCTCTCCAGCTGTGATTGGTTGGCGGGATTGTGATGTCATCCCTTTCTAGCAGTGATTGGTTGGGGAGATTGTGATGTCATCCCTTTCCAGCCATGATTGGTTGATGGGATTGTGATGTTCTCTTTTCCAGCTGTGATTGATTGGTGGGATTGTAATGTCATCTTTTTCAGCTGTGATTGCTTGTGCTGTACTGGTTAACTTTATTATTAAACTAACTTAACTCAATACTTAACTTGAACTTAATCATTGCAAAGTACAACCAAAGGGCCTGAAAAATTTTCAGAAAGTCCATTAAATGAAAGAAAAATAAAAAATATCAATAAAACGAGAGACAACTAAACAGGTCTAATTATAAACAGCCACCTGGCAGAGCACTGTTTCTAAGGAAAGCTTTCCACCTTGGGTGGAAAGCTTTTATATAAGTGAACTTTTATTCCTTGAATTACACACTGCCATAGGTATTAGGTAATAGGTAGATAGTCATTAAGAAGCCATTAACTGGTTTAGAATGCCACCATGAGCAGCAGAGTGGCACTCTGCTGGTCTCTGCACTCTGCAGAATATAAGGATATTTTTAACAAGAGTGATAGTATGATACAAGACCAACTGGCACTTAATTTATATTTTCAATTATTATTATTGATATTAAATTTAAAACTAAACATCATATAGGCCTATCTAGTTTCTGTCATTCTGAAATTTTACAGTTTTTTTAGTCAGTCTAGTCAGATACACAGAAATTCCCTATTAGTTATTGAGTTGAATGGCAGGAATTGCAAATATACACAGTATATATTGTGAAAAGGACCAAATTAGCTGGTTCTAGTTGTTGATGAATGATGATTAACTGAGCAAGTGAGCATCCAGCCCAATGTTCAAATTTTGTGTCAAAATTGTAATAAGAATAACAGTATTTGACTGCTTGTGCGGGACTAACTGCAGTTAATGTTAACTTGTTAAGTATATGTAAATAATAACTTGAATAACTAAAAGTACATATTAAATTATAAAGAGGAGCGTGCCGCCTAGGGCCTAGCCTCAGCCGCCTAGGCCCTAGGGCCTAGCCCCTAGGAGATTGACAACCCCACATATTTATGCCTACCTTCTAAGAAACTGATGCACAACCTCAGCGCAAGCCGCCACTCAGCACCTAGCCTACTACAAGTACATTATTTGTCTCACAACTCTCGAGAGTCGAGTATCTGCACTTAACTCACCGCTCGGCGCTCGTCAATACTTAATGTAAGTAAAACTATACAACTTACAAGACTGTCGGAACTAAATTTTTAGGATTTTATTGCTACATAATAACTAAGAAATGTTTTGATGTTTATCATTTTATGTAACTACGTTGCAAATAAGACGTGAAACAATGACTCTTGGTTGGCCTGGCATTACTCATAGTTAAAATACGGCGCAATAGCTACTATGGTAACGTTGGGAAGTAAATTCAACCAACAAGGCTCAAAGTCAAGGCTGCAACTCGAGACGAGTTCGTTACGTGTTTGTGCAAAGGCAATGCTCGTTTTTTACACAAGGAAAAATTGTGTAACATGAAATTTATTTATTTAACCCAAACATTATAATACTTCGTAAAGTCTGCGAAATATTTCTATTTTCGATTAAACTTGCTATGCTTACTCAAAACAAATAACATGCGTTTAAAAATTACTTTTGCTATAAGACAACACTTCTAAAAAATCCAGTGTCTCCAATGTTACACATGTACAAAGAATTTTTAATTTTATTTTAAAAAATCAAGAAAATTAATTTTAAATTTGTTTAATATATAACAAATAAATTTTTAAAAATGATTTATTCTGTCCATTTATTCATGCATTGTGTCTGACGTTACGAAAGTGTGCAAAATTTTAGATCCATTGGACAGGTAGAAGTGTGTTAAATATTGATGTTAAGGTTTGAAGCGGAAAAAATTATTTTTTCAATTTTATATATTAAACATTTTATTTAATTATTTATTCTGTCAATTGATTCATTCATTGTCTCCAATTTTACGTAAGTGTGCAAAATTTCAGATCGATAGGAAAAGTAGAAGTGTGTTAAATTTCGATTATAAGATTGTAGTAGACAGACAATCAAAAAACAAGAAGTGAAGTTAAAGTGAAGTGTTGTAAAAAACTATGAGTTAGTTTTATTTTCTGAAGAATTTCGGGCATAGATTTCACATCCGCACTTGTTCAGTGCCTCAGATGATTTGAGTGATGTTGGAAGTAGTTTTTGCAGGCACATTCAACGTGAATCTAACAACTCGCCCCATACTTTACTTCACTGGCGAGTTCACACTTCTCTGAAGAGTTTTGGCCGTTTGTTGCCGACCTCATAGCAGCAACTCTCAGGGTGCTGTTGAAGCTTCGTGCCAAATCCAATTTCACATCTCAAATCAGATTTAGTTGACACATAAAGTCAGATTCTACGGACTGACTAACTTATGAAGAATCTTCGGCCACTGGTTACCTTTGGACTCGTGGAGTAAAGCCTTTCATGGCAGCTTAGCTTGAGTAAGGCCGTGACCCTGGACGCATATGTGGGCACTTGCTAGAGTGGATGTCGTCTGCGCCACGACCGACCTCGCTGGGACTCCTGGCGCTTTAGCTGCGTCCACTACTTTGGCCCCGGCAACTTACCTCTGCGCGGTGTGGACCAGCTCCAAGAACCAGCACTTGACCAGCGATTCACTGAAGATTTTTTAGTACTTCAGGTACATCATCTTATCTTCGTAGGCATGGAGCAAGCGGTGATGGGATGTTAAATCCTGTTCCTTTTCTCTTAAACCCGAATAAATAATAAAGCCAGTAATTACCAATACTTTAATATTCTTTGATAATATAAATAATTTATACGTGCTTCATTGCAAGGTTTTCCTTTAATAATAATGACTGCATCTTACTCAAAACGTTTTGCAACAATTTGCACCAGCTCGACATACTTTTTAAAACAATTTGCGAACTTCTGTCATTCATGACCTTCTATTGCATCGAGCATTTTTTCGTCTAATTTCAGAGCTAATTTTGTGACTTGTCTAAACACCGTTTCCAATTCTCCAGAAATTTTCGGGTTGGGCTGACGCGGGAGCGAGTTGCGCCTCCTTTGCCTCTTCACGCATGTTGAGGATGACCCCCTACCGCTGTACCGCAGTTAAGACAGCACAGAACAATTTCGTGAAGTTGATAGCAATTTATACCATCTTGCAACTTTAGAGAAAGGAAAGATTCCTCTAATCTCTACTCCATTCTTGTTTTGCTTGCCTTCGATTTCATTTTATAACCTCGTTCCTCAAAGTTTTGTCCAAACTCTTCATTTGTTGGATAATGAATTTAAGTTGGCGTTGACTCCCAGAAATTTGCCCATCCGGACGTACACAAAAGAGCCGATGTGGTCGTTGATTCGAGGTCAGGCCTGTAGACTGGTTATCCATGCAACACACATTTATTTATTCAAAAATGATCATATATGAACATTTTTCGTCTTAGCATCACGCTCGTATAATTTTTTAAGCCGGAGACCAGCTTTGCCCAATATACACCTCAGTTCATATTCCTTTCATTGCCAGCAAGTTTGAGGGCATAAGAGCATGAAGGTATGCAAGTGCTAGAAGCTATAGCGCTTCGGCTTCACAACCATCTCTTAAAGCATGGTCACAATTCCGTATCGAGTGGCCTAACCTATTCATGTTACCGCGACTCTCCACCCAAATCTTTCTGTTAGCTTAGCCCTGGAGTGGGTCTCTCTGCCCTAGAGTGGGACTCTCTGCCTTGGAATGGGATTCTCTGCCCTGCCCTGGAGCGGAACTCTCTGCTCTGGAGTGGGACTCTCTGCCCTGGAGTGGGAATCTCTGCCCTGGCGTAGGGCTGTCCTCGCTCATGTGGTCTCCTCTTTGGCGGCCCCATTTTGTAGCCATTCAGCTGTGGGTAACATTTGACAACTCTTCAGGACACCCAAATCCGTAGCTGAGAAGCAAATTCCTTTAAATTCTTTAAACTGTCTTGCCATGGGGCCGCATTGAACTAGTCTTCAGAGGCTCCCGTAAACTCTAAATGAATAAAGTACAAAAATATAAGTATTTTATTGTTTTTGTGCTACAGACTAACAACGTAATAGAAAAAGCGAGAGCGCAATCATGCTCCAACTTCAAGCGCCCACATTTATGCAGCACTACTTCTAATTTTTGCTGTTTCACTATCATAAATACTGTCGATTGATCACGAACATTGCCTAATACTGATTACCGTAGGCCAGAGCCCTTTCCAAGTTAAACGGGTATTCAACTCGTTGAGTGCACTAACTCAGGGCCTGCCGATCTGTAATAGTGCCGTTGTAGCTAGCCGGTACTGCAGGCCATCACCAATAACCTTACAACGGGCCGCGTGTAATGAGGAATTACTCCTTGAGCCAGTTCCAGCCCCTAAACTCAAATATGTTAGTAGGCATTTTGGGACACGTTTTATTGGCCAACATTGCTCATTGCCATCACATTTTTATATTCCTTACCATGCGCAAGCTTGGTACTGAGTGGAGTAGCCTATGAAGTTAAAGTGTTTAAACGCCACCTTTCCGCAGCCGCTGCGCTATTCCGCATCATCTTCATGGAGGTTACACCGCAGCATGGTCCGAGATTCACACTTACCCCAGACTCTCATCCCTACAAACCTAACCAGACCTAACCCAACCTCACTGGCGGCAACAAAGTAGGGAGGTGGGGTAAGTGTAGAGGCAGGCTGATGTGTAACCTACGTGAAGACTATACTGGCTGGAGCAGCAGTGGCTGTGTCGGAAAGGTTACGAACTTTCGTGCATATGTCTTCATTTTTATAGGTCCATCCCTTTCTGTAAACCATTGAGAACGATTTAATCTTCACCCTTTATTAAATTTACGTCATTATTGCCAATTCTAATAATTTTATTCAAAGCAGTCATTTAGCGGCCGGGCTGGTTGCGACTTTTCTCACTGCTTCCGAGGCTTTCCCTGCAGCCAAGCAGAAATTTTGCATCTCTGGCCGGCAACAGACAGATTCACTTCAACCTTCACACATTCAACACGTCCTTGTGTCGTCTCGCGTGGTCTATGCCCGTCCGTTCTGCGTAGTTCCTACTCCGCGAGATGACAGTCCTCAGCCTCTAGCCGGTTCTTCAACTGGACAACTCCTCACCTGCACCCAGAAGGCCTGTTCTTCCCACAAAGAAGCCGTAGCAATGTCCCTAGCGTGTTTTGCGACGTCGTAGCTATTTAAGCCAAATGCAGCAGTGCATGTTTAGACTAAGCTGGGCTAGTTCAAAATTTCTATTTATTTCCAACGGCGGCACTCCTGACATTTTAAGGGTTAATGAGAATTCATAATTAGTCATTATACTAGAGTGCAATTTAAGTTAAGAGAAGTTTAAAAATTCCTCTTGAAGTGAATTTCCGGTGCATGATTAGTAGCTTATCTACAACCTTCCATGCTGAATGGATGCAAAATTAACTAAAAGTCAAAATAAAATTCAGCAAAGTTTCTCAATTGATGAAATTGCTTCAAGGTTTGGTGCAAACGAACTCTACTATAATAATGACAGCTTTACTTATTCTCATCTCGTCAAGCGGCCACCATTCGGCGATAAATAAGATATTGATTCAGTTCAGTGGCCGCTGCTTTCTACTGAGCACTGACTGTCGGTAATTAAAGAATATATTACCCTAACACTGTTGCATGCCAAGACATACCCTGGCCTCGGAGTCTAAAGTTTTATCACAGGAACCATTAAACCGGTTAGAATAAAGCATCTCATACTGATGACGGTTACCACAAATTAATACGAGTATCTACGGCAGAGCTGATGAAGCTCCATCTACGTCGTCTAAACGCAATTAGGAAATTTGCAAACATACTACATCATTTTTTTTATTGTATCGTGTTGTCTGCAGAATACGGACTCGGCTTTGTTTATTAATTATGGAAACTTCCAATAAGTCGGTTAACTCAACAAAAAGTAAGTCATCATTCAAGGAACCGAGACGTACATGGAACACGTAAATAAAAAGTGAATGTAGAACTTTCCAAACGATATGCAAACACGCATTACTAATAATATCGCACCGATAACAACTAATTTCGTAATTCTCAGCAAAAGCCGCCAAGCCGGAAGAGATGCGACCGTGTAGCGGTGCAGGCAATGCGCGACCGCACACGACTCTCAGGGTAAATCTTTTTGTACTGAGTAGATCTATCTACATCAATCCAATTTAGATCTCGTAAGCGATATTTCAACCAAATTCACTGAAAATGAGTCTCTTCTAAAACTTGTATATGTCATACGTGTCGCCGCTGTCGCGGGGGTCACACGTCAGGGATTGCGCTCGGAGCTAATTTATATAACGTAGTCCAACCTCAAAAATTTCTGTCGTTTTCTTGGGAGTATCGTAGAAAACTTTTTCTTGAGCATTGACTGAGCTAATGAACC